TCCTTTGTTAATCACCTGTTACTGATTGAACCGAATAAATTCGACGAGCTGTTGAAAACTACTTATGCTTTCACTTCCTGTCGAAAACTGTAATGGATTCTGGACAACAGTTGAAGTTAACTAAAAAATGCCATTAGAACTAACCTAAGAATGTATGAAAATGAGTACCTTGCTTTGAGATGACGCTAAACTGAAGAACCCTAAGCGAGCCATACTTAAAAAGTAAATCTCAGTGGCCATCAATAGGATTGAAGTAAGAAAAATACTGCTAAGCTTGATTCTTCTCAGGAGCAATATCTTTACGACATTATCGATGAACAGTTTCTTTCAATTGCACATCAACTAAAGCCATCGACACATGAGAAGACTGCAAATGTTCCATTCTATATTTTTTTCCATATTTTCTAGGTGAAATAGGTACAAGATTAGGTTGTCTGGGGTCGGTTTCCCATCATTGATACATGACATTTCAGGAAACTAATGGTCAGAGCGAAGCAGCATACTATCTTGTAGCTGATTCTATAAGATTACAAGCACAAGTCATCATGGTATTGCATACGAGTGATTTTCTTATCATTTTTTTGTCCTTACTATGAACATCTATTATTTTTGAATACCCAACTGATTCAATCATGCTTGTGGATTCCGTCTTAAGGAATTGGATCGTATGTCGAACTACCCTGGAGAGTGACATTTTTTCTGAAAAAACTAATCGAATTCCACCTGCATTTCGCCGTAATCTTTGTGATCGAATTCCAAATAGGATAGTGCTGGACAAGGTCCGATCGGTTCCTGTCAAAGTCAATTATTTGATATCCCCGAAAAACCGCTCGGATCTTTCTCTTCGAAAGAACGAATCCTGCAAAATTTAACGACAGATCTAGCGTATTTTGTCGAAACCTGGCATCTAGATGCCGGATCACATTATGTCGGACACATACCAATTCGATTCTGTAAGATCCACGTATCAGGTCACGTCAGATGTAGCGAAAGATGGCGGATGAAACAAACTAAAAGATATAAGAATACTCTGATTGCCGACAGTAAAACTAAAGTAGTTTGTATCAGAAAAATCTATTGATACTTTTTCTATTTTGAGGAATAAGTTTGTTCAACTAGGTGTAGTGTGTTGGTATCGTATGTAAACGTAACGATGTGTAATTTCGGGTGTGAGTGTGTGTATATGGGTTTAAATGGAATTGGTTGAACAGATGAAGAGAAAAACTGCACGAACAGATACATGCACATCGGCACCGATATAAAGATAAAGTATCCTTGAATCATACAAGATGTATTCCGACAGATTTTTTAATTAGTCAACTATTTTCGGGAAAACTAAATACAGCTTTTAGATACAGAATTCAATGCTCTGCCGAATAATATTATTTCTATTTATTGAATAGATTTTGAAAGAAACAAACAAAAATCGATTATTAATATGATATTATCGCATGATATGATCTATCACAATACGAAAATTAACTTTTTTTAAATCAATCAAACGTGTACGATAAATCTAAACAGTTGTTATAGTTGCAAAATTTATACGCTATTGATTGACATAAATTTTATGTAAGGATGTGGTGAAGAAAACAAAAAAAGGCAAGAGGAAGTGCAAGAGAACTTTTCTAGACGGTTGAAAGATGCATGCTCCATTTTTAAAAGTACAGATATTATAGAAATACTTTTATTAATTAAGCTTTTTCACTGAATCGCATTAGTAAATGGACGAACAAATTTTATTTTGTAATCATGTGAGTATATTCAACGCATACACTTTATACACCATCTGATAGAGACTTGAATTCTACATATCATATACCTTCCTAAGATCGCAAGGCATACGTTATTGATAAGGTCAAACTTTTTTTTTTATAAGGAACCGCAATAGATGATAGTAATCAATCAATGAGATTACACTACGTCTTAGATAAAATTTGTAGTACTAGATTGTGTTTTTTTTTTGTAAGCTTAAAATTTGAGATTTAAAAATAAACTTTGGGATTTTTTTTCACTCAGCGACAAAGTTTGCTGTCAATAAATAATTGATATGATTTTATTTATTCATCATATAATCTTTGAAAGTAGTAGAAGTTTTGATTCAGTAATACACTTGTATCGAACTTCGTATTGAAAGGTCATCATGTCGATATTTTTATCCTCTACAATGATACTTTTTGTTCCTGTAATTTTCTGCTTGGTGGTTGTGTTCGAGCAATAAGATTTTAGGTCTTTTTCATTTTGACTCGTCATTTGGTAGTGGATTCTCATCGCTATTTATTGGTGAATTCTTATCTTAGCCTGGAGTAGTGGGTGTGCCATAAACTCGACCTCGTTCGCTTTTTGCGTATAATTGTTTATATTGCACTAACAATTCTTATCTTTTACACCTTTAACTATTTCTTTGTCAAGGTCAACATATCGAGATAATAAATAGGCAATACATCGTTTGTTTTTTTCTTTGTTAGATCTCGATATATTCAGAACATTTTCAGCGAAAATGATTAATTTTAGCTCTCGATATGGTTCACTATTTCAATCAACAGGTGTAAAAAATCTTACTGTAAGTTGAATTTTATCTATTCTATATTATTCAGTTTTTTTTAAAATTAATCTAGACTTCAAATTTGATTCGATGTGCGAGTGCTTCATCAAAACCTGTAAGTTAATTTTAGTTTAATTGAATAAAAAAATCCTTCTATTCGATTTTAAATAGCCAACTGTTAAAAATTGGATTAATGGACGCGCTGTCGAATCCAAAACTAATGATTGGATTGAACTTACCAACCCTGTATGTTATTATTTATAAAGATAAAAAATTTCATTTAGTTTCCTTAGGCAACAAATGAAGTTATTGGTTTAGTACCAAAAAGTACTCAAGCTGAAATGAATGAAGCTGTTGAGAGTTGTAAAGAAGCATTTCGTACATGGTCAAGAACAACTATATTACAACGACAACAAGTCATGTTTCGTTATCAAGATCTTATAAAAAAAAATCTAGTTTGTTTAATTTTCTTCTTTTATAAAAAAAAAAAAAAAAAAACATATTAAATTAATTAAAACAAATATTTTAGAAAAAAATTGCCGAAAATATATCAAAAGAGCAAGGTAAAACAGTAACCGATGCTGAAGGTTCATGTTTACGTGGTTTACAAGTGGTTGAATCATGTTGTTCTGTAACATTTTTACAGACTGGTGAAACAATGCATAGTATTGCAAAAGATATGGATATTCATAGTTATCGAGTACCATTAGGAGTTACTGCAGGGTTAGTTAATTTTTATTTTATTTTTTTTTAAACTTATGAAAATTTTCTATTTTAGCATTGCACCATTTAATTTTCCAGCAATGATTCCACTTTGGGTATTCCTAAACAAAGGCAGAGAAAAAAAAATCATGATTAATTTTTGTTTTTGTGTAGATGTTTCCAGTAGCAACTGTTTGTGGAAATACAATGCTTATGAAACCAGTAAGTGAAATTAAAATAAAATAATAATTCAATTTTCATAGTTAATTATTAGTCTGAACAAGATCCTGGAGCATGTATGATGCTTGTTGAATTGGCTAAAGAAGCTGGTTTACCAGATGGTGTTGTTAATTGTATTCATGGTCAACATGAAGGTAAACATAAGAAACAAAAAAATATTTATTTATTTATCTACGTGTTTAATTTTTTAGCTGTTACATTTATTTGTGATCATCCGGATATTCGTGCTATATCATTTGTTGGTTCTGATAGAGCTGTAAGAATTACATTTTTTTTAAATATAAAATTTGTTTATAATAATACGATTTAGGGTAATTACATATATGAACGTGGTTCAATAAATGGTAAACGTGTACAATGTAATATGGTAAATATGATGAAATTCATTTTTTTTTTAATATCTTTATTTTGTTTTAATTTCAGGGAGCGAAAAATCATGGTGTCATCATGCCTGATGCTAATAAAGAACAAGCATTAAATCAAGTATGTCGTGAAAGCGATGATTTGTTTGTTTTTAATTTCGCTTTTATATTTCAGCTTGTTGGTGCAGCATTTGGCGCAGCTGGTCAACGATGTATGGCATTATCAACAGCAATATTTGTTGGTAAAGCACGTGAATGGATTCCAGATTTAATTGCAAGATCTAAAAAATTACGTGTTAATGCTGGTTATGAACCAGGAACCGATTTAGGACCAGTTATATCAAAAAAAGCTAAAGAACGTGTTCTTGAATTAGTTGAATCTGGTATTAACGAAGGTGCAAAATTAATTTTAGATGGACGAAATATTAAAGTACCCGGTTATGAAAATGGTAATTTTGTTGGACCAACTATTTTACATGATGTTAAAGTATATTTAATTAAAATTTTTTTTATTATTATTAAAAGATGCATAGAAATATTTTTGTTTTTCTCTTAGCCAAATATGGCATGTTATAAAGAAGAAATTTTTGGTCCTGTACTTGTTTCAATGAGTGTTGATACATTAGATGATGCTATAAAAATAATTAATAACAATCCATATGGTAATGGTACAGCTATTTTTACAACAAATGGAGCTACAGCTAGAAAATTCACTCAAGAAATTGATGTTGGACAAGTAAAGAGAATTTGTTTTTTATGTGTTGATATAAAAATTAGAAAGAATTTTTTTTAGGTTGGTGTTAATGTTCCAATTCCGGTACCACTTCCAATGTTTTCATTTACCGGTTCACGTGGTTCATTCCGAGGTGATACGAATTTCTATGGACGAAATGTAAGCAAAAAAGAAAAAAGATATTATTTTGTTTTATTATGAATTTTCTTGTTGTCGTAGGGCATGAACTTTTATACACAATTAAAAACGGTAACTTCATCATGGCGACAAGAAGATGCAACACCAATTGATGTTCAAATGTCAATGCCAACAATGTAATAAAAAAACGCAATACAAGAGAGCAATTCAAACTCGATATTCTTCTTGTTTTTTTCATTAAATATTTGTAAACATTCATTTATAAATTTTATTTGTATGTTTACATTGTTGAAAGAATATCGATAAATGATTTTGATTTGATTTCTTTCCAATTATCTGTTAACAAACCAAACGATTCATGTAATTCAATTGTACCAGATCGAATATAGTAACTGCCAGCTAATACCCAATAAGACCAAGACATTGTTTCAGTGAATGATGTTTGAAAAAAGCCTTTAACACAATCAATAAAAGTATTATCACCTGTAAATTGATCGACATTTGTACCAAATTCCGTTAACCAAACAGGAGCTGTATAAGAATGATCAGGTACTAAGATGAATCCCCATGCATTTTGAATGCCTGCCTTCATTTTATTACATTCATTTGAATGACCATAATTTGACCATGAGTACCAATGGGCTTCATAGACTATTTTATTTTAGAGACTATGTACAAAGGACATTCGAACGCTTGTTAAGAATTTTTGGCATTAAATAAGATTTAATACTCTTTGTAAAGTATTCTATATCGAAATTCCATATGTACTTACAATGAAAGATGGAGATAAGCCTTAACGAGAGTAGTTTCAGATCTTTTCATTTGCTTCAATCTTGAAATATGAACATCGATTTTGTCCCTATATATTACCAGTCTGGTATATTTTGTCTAAGACCACGCAACTCATTTCTCAAACTCATTGCAATAACATATGGGCGATTAATAGTTTTTTTAGCCATAAATATCAAACCATCAATCCATTGTTCAACATCAAAATATTGATCACCCCAAAACCCATTTCCATCAAATTTATGACAACACCACATAGCTTTACTAATATGATTATCAAGTAAGACTAAAATATTATATTTTCCAAGTGTATTTAAAACAGAATCAAATACATATGAAATACTTTTATGAATAAGTAGTGGATTATTTTCTATAAAACCTTCTAAAGCTAATATTAAATTAAGTCTTGACAATGATTGATAAACAGTTAAATTAGATGAACGTGTTACATCAATCGAATACGTTAAACGTACACAAGTCATATTCATTTCTTTTATAAGTAAAACAATATTATCTATTGAATTATGTTGTAAGCCTTCTGGTAACAATGTTTCCATACTTCCTGGCCAAGTAACACATTTCGTTCGAACTATTATACCATTGGCATCAATTATTGAATTACCCAATGTTGAAAATGGAAATTCATATGAATAAATATTTGATAGAAATAAAGCATAGACAGCAAATATACAAAACAACATTTCTAAGTTTTGTTTTTTTCTTTATTGTAAATATAACCATTGTGAGGCTACCCGAACCCGAACCGGATCATTTAGTTTGGGAAAAAAATAATGATTTTATTGGACACTGTATTCACCAATAGGTATCGTAAAATTCGAAAATCGTCACTAAAAAGGAGCACAAAAAAATGATTTTGGAAATCGCTGTCTTAGTAACAATAATGTGAAATCAGTAGAATGTTTGCTATAACTATAACTTTAATACCTGAGTATTAATATTCTTGCGTAATCAAGTTGATTTTTTCTTACCAAGAAAAAATTACTAACAAAATTAGACTTAATTCAATGCAACTTATCACTTGAATTGAATTGAATTTTCTATAATGAATTTGATATCACTAATACTATAACATACATGAATTTCTGCGAGTCTCAGACGAGGACTTTAAAGGTTTGAACATCATTTTTCCCAATATCTGAACGAGCTGCATCGATTGCTGCCATTTGAAGATTAGCAAAAATTTTTTTAGTGATGATGTTGATATTAGTAATACTAATACATTTACGAATTTCTGCGAGTTTTGGACGGGGTGTATTCAAGTGTTAACATAATTTCTATCAACAACTCAACCAGTGATATCGACAGTTAACACTTAAAAGTTGGCAGAAATTTTTCTAGTGGTGATGTTGGTTAACATCTTGACTAGCTGCATCTATTGATGGCATTTAGAAGTTAGCAGAAATTTCTCCAGTCGTCGTGTTGGTATTAGCAAAACTAAATTGTTGATGAATTTGTTCGAGCCTCAGACGGTGTTTTCAAAGGACAAACATCCTTATCAGTAGCATCTGAACGAGCTGTATCGATTGCTGCCATTGAGAAGTTAGCAGAAATTTCTGTTCTCATGATGTTCGTATTAGTAATACCAATACATTTATGAATTTCTGCAGCTTTTGGGCGGCTTGTATTTAGGTGTTAACATCATTGCTCTCAACAACTCAATCAGTGGTATCCACTGATGACATTTAAAAGTTAGAACAAATTGTTTTAGTAAAAATGTTCGTATTAGTAATACTATACTGTTGATGAATTTGTACGCGTTTTAGGCAGTGATTTTAAAGGTGTGATAATCATTTCCCTCAACATCTGAACTAGGTGCATCGATTGATGGCATTTAAAAGTTAGCAGAAATTTTTTTCATGATGATGTTAGTATTGGTTTGGTTATCCGGGTAGCTTCAACGACCCGTAAAAATATATTTAAATGAAGATCATAAACGAATAGGAGAGAGAAAAAAGAACAATAAATCTGTCACATAGTCACGAAGATAAATGTTTATGATTAGATAAAATGACAGATATAGATAAAATTTTATATCATTCATTTATGTCCATGTAATCGGTTCTTTTCATTATTAGCCATTGCGGTAACAATTTTTCTTGTATCGCCACCAGCATCATGACGTTGGGAATTTAATTCCACTTCTATTTTACTACGTTGTTTACCACCACTATTAACATTAAAAAAAACGAACAAATATATCGTGTCTTTTTTTGTTTTCTTTTTTTTTTTGATGCAATAAGTTTACCTTCCAGCATGGAAATATTTTTCATATTGTTCATAAGTATCTTCAGCATTTTGTTCAGCTAAAGCTGTAGCTGATACAGAATTTGTTGATGTCATTGAAATAGATATCTATCAAGAAAAAAAACACAGTATTTATTCATATGATTGCAAACTAAATGATGTGTTGCAAACAAATACAATGATGTTGAATGATAAAATGCATTTCATTCAATAATAATAAATCCCCTCGATACAAAGGAACGCAAAGAAAAGAAAATAAGCAAAGGAATAATTTGATTGCATTACTATCTTCATCACCTCTAAGAAATGTAGGATAAGAATTGCGCTACTTCCTATTCCTATTACCGATGTTAGTGGCGGTCTTACCAATCTTCTATGATGTCGCTGTGGAAAGAATAAGAAAGATACATATAAAGAAATTTACCAGGGATATAGAAAGGGTCACATATGGTTTGAATCAAAGTAAATATAATAAAATAAAGTAAAAGATTAGTCATAGAAAGAAATTTTATTTTCTTCTTTCTTCATAAATAAATATAAATCATCATGTTGAAATTTTTTTTAAATTAATATATAATGATTCATGAGTAGTAAAATAAATAAAAAGGTCAGCAAATGAAATAACTATAAAATCAGTCAATTTAATCATTGAGTAGTAAATTACTTAAATGATCAGTTATTAATTTTAATTATGTTTGTAGATAGATTTAAAAATTAGTAAATACAATTGATTAACGGTCAATTATATTAAACGCTTAGGCTCAGTAGAAAAAATGAAATAATTATAGAGTGAATCACTTTTATTCTTTTTTTCCTTTCTCTTCAGCTGTTCTACATATGTTTTTATTCTTTTAACCTATACATTTTGACAATAAGAAGAATCATGGTTTTTATTCTTCTTATCATTCATTATCTGAAACAAAGAAAAAGAAATTTCTCGACTTCTTTCCTAATAGTTATCTGTATCTACCCCGATGTACAAACATATGTTATTTTTCAACTAAAAATAACTTATTTCACGTTTACAGAATTTGACGCATTTGTAATTACGAAATACAAGTGTCTCGATATGAAAGTACCCGAAAACCAAAAGAATCAAACTGCTGGTTTAAAAAAACATGCATTTGATAATTCTAGCGAAGCAAATGCCTTAATTAAAAATTAATCGTCAAAATATTACACAAACTATTCAGAAGATCGGAGAAAAAGTATATTATAGATGCAAGAAAATCGAATACCGTGGTCTCTAGTGTAGTGCAAGTATTTATCTCTTAAATTATGCAGTTTGTGATAAAGTAACTGTTTATGAAACATAAGTTGAATACGAACATCATAATGGCACAAATCGTGGTATTGATGAAATTGTTAAAAAGTGCCTAGAAGATTTATTTAATGATCGTATAAAGAAAGCAAAATTAATTCTTCTAGTACTTCACTCAAGAATAAAAATAATACCAACGTTAGTACATCTAAACAATTATCTTTTCTATGATAGAAAAGAGAAATTTGATTCTCATAGAGTGAGTTTAGGTGAATTAGAACAATCGTTTGAAAATAATCACAATAATCTAATGTATTAAAACGAATCTTTTGTTGTATCATGCAAGATATCATATGACAATGATGAATATGGAGATGTAAAATATGATGATGAAAACAAATCGCGTATCTATGTATTATTTGTTCGTTTACTCAACATTGCAGTGATATCATAAAAATATACTTGCTGATGCTACTGATAAACTATCTATATCGTCTCTTTTTTTAGCAACTGCGACGCAATTATACCCCAGTAGCAATCACACTGTGACTCGTAATTGCGAAAAACCTATGACGTAGTTACTGTAGTCACGTTAGAAAAATTGTCGCTGCACGCAACCATAATTTCTTTCATCGTAACTGCGTCGTAATTTTTCGCAATTACGACTACATTGTGATGTAGTTACAATGGAAGAATCATAGTAGCGTGTAGCTATGGTAAAAAAATCATAGTTACATTGTAATCGCATCGGCATTCGGTCGTAATCGGAAATTGACTAGTATGGTAAGGTTTTTCAGTACTGATTATTGGAATGTCTGGTTCGAATTAAGCATGTCATCTATTTTGTTGAGCAATATGTGCTGATGAAAAAGAAAACATTCTCAATTTATCTTCAATAATCTTCAAATTGGTATGCAAAACAGTGTATAAGTATCGCTATTAATTTGAAATATTGTAAATCACCAGCGGTAGCAAAGACAGGATCGATCGGTGAAAAAAGAAAAGGAAGTAGACCAGCAGAGGTTAAATCTACTTTACTAATACAATAATTCAATGTTTGCCTATTTTCAATTATTTTTTAAGCTTCTTTGTATTTATTCTATAGATTTTTGATATATTTAAATTTATTTTCTACTAGTAAAGCATATTTTTCTAATGATAAATTTTTGTAGTTATTACTACTATCTACATTTAATAAAGTAACTATTTTATAATTAATTCTCGTGTATCTACTACTGAACGTTCAACGGTTATACTGACTATTAAATTGGTAGCCATTATTTAATGTATATACAACGTTCAAGATTAAGAAAAAAAGGAGGAGAATTATAAACTGGTAATTGATAAAATAATACAAAAGTCATTTTTATTGAGAAATAAACTTAAAATCCTTTTTTGTGCGTTCTTCTCTCTCTCGAATTTTTTGACCTATGAAAATGCTTTGTTTATCAATCTAATCTTTGATTATTCAATTTATGCAATAGTAATTCTTTCAAAAACTCGAATTAACCATCTTGTTAGTATCTACGAGTGAATCTGTTAATAGCCAATCAAAGTGATATTTTGCTCATAAATAGGAATCCATGAGAATACCAAGATATTTATAGAAAAATCAAAAACAATGAATTTTCATTTTTATTTTTTTACATAAGCAGGTCTCTCGAGTCTGAATATATGCTGAAAATTTCAGTCAAAACTGATAGTTCCTTCTCGAATTCTTGAATATTTAAAAAAAAGAACAATTGAATGCTACTAAAAAGTCGTGAAGCCTACTTTTTTTTGTTTGGTATTCAATACATCGAGAGAAAACTATACGCTTTAGGCTGATAGTTTTAGGGTATCTTAAAGATTAAGAGACCTATTTATGTACAAAACTTTAGATGAAAATTTCTTCGTTTTTGTTTTTCTATAAATATCTTGACATACACCAAAAAACAAGATAAAACGGTTACAGCTCCATTACGAAAGCCTATAGAAAGAAATTCTTTCAAAGCTTTCTCGTCTTCTTTAGTCCTACTTATGAGAAAATTATCACTTCGATTGGCAATTAACAGTTAGATATATTCTCTCGTTAGATGAAAAACTGCTATATGAATTTTATCTCCAACAATGAAGATGGTTGTATTTATATCAACTGATAAATCTTAAGTAAAAGATTTTTTTCGTTTATGATTAAGATAATTATACTAAGATGAATATTGTTAGATAACATCAAAGTTTTTTATTTCATAAACGCGGTAAGAATACTAAATATGAATTTTATAGTTAATAACGTATCACATGTATATAATAAAACACCAAATTTTAATCGTTTAATTGAACGAATTCGACAATGTATTCGTGAACGTGAAATAACAAAAAAACAACAACAACAAGATATAAAAATTTATTCGATTCTTCATTATTTTGAACATATAAAACGATGTATTCATGATAATCCATTGATTGGTCGAGTACTATTTCAATTTTATAATACAATAAAATATTTTCCTTCACATAATAATCGTATGAATAAAAATAAAAGAATTGGTTATTTTTTCATTATTTTTTTTTTAAATAAAAGGATTTCCTTCAACAATTATATTCGATACTAATGAATCAAAAATGAATTTAGAATCTAAAACTTCCATTGATAATTTATCTATTGTTAGTAGTCAAATTGAAATAAAATCAGATCTATCGAAAATTAATTTAACTATGTCACAATCAGCTGAATTAAATAATTTACAAACAGTAAAATCGACTACTCACTTTATTCAACCAATGCGACTTCCTCGTCAAATCGGTGGTTTAATGACAAAAGCAACTTTATCAGCCATTAACAAGGTTTTATAATCTAAAAAAAGAAAAGATTTTTCTTTTGATATTATGAAAAATAGCTTTTAATACAGTCCTTCGGCGATTAGAATATGAAGCACAATGCTGCTAATCATAGATAGTTAATTTTACTCAATCTATTTTTAGATACATATTTTCACAGTATTTTTATTCTATTTCTGCAGAAATTCAATAAGGAAGTAGGTCATACCTACAAACAAGAAGTTATTAATATACGTTCTGCACAACCTTGTAAAGTACGAGCGTCGTAACCTATCAACTTGTGACTATTTTTGGACATTATATAGTGTCGAAACCTTTTCTAAAATTATATAGTAAGAAAAAAGACAGAAGTGAAAGTGACCTGCGAACAAAAAATAGATTGATTGCACACGACTCAACAGGAATAGATGTATCACTATCCTATTCTTTATACATATAGCTATTTAAATATATATTTAGTTTTCTAATTGTGAGTTTTATCTTATTCTTCGAAAAATAATTGAAACAATTGATATTCAACAAGAACATTCACCTGTAATATCTACAGCAAAATTTAACATCCCCAAAAAGGTACCACAAAAAGAGAGAAAGATATAGGCATGTAAAATGATGTTCAAACGATGATCTATGGTTAGAATGGTGCTACGAGTATACATTTATATTTCCACAACTTCTCTTGATTCTGCTATAAATAACACGTTTAAGATTTGATAAGTCGCAAATAATCTTTAGGAATAATCTCTTATTTAGAATTCTTACAAGTTCGGCTACATCGAAACATGTTTTCGATTCAACTAGTTGAATTTCTGAAAAAAAGAAGACAATCATTAAATCCAAATAGTGTTGATAGTTAGAAATTTTCGAGAGATTTTGTGTTTGGTTTATTTGCTGTATGGTTGAAACAAACGGAATAAAATCACATAAAAAAAAAACTGATACGAAAATTTATATCTTTCTCTGGTGCCAAACAGAAAATGTTGAAGATTATAAAATAAAGTATCAGAGCAAGCTCAGATTGCCACAATGTCAGCAGGGCATATTATAAATTGTCAAAATGGCGTACTCTTCAGCCGTCTAATGATCTGTGATGCAGTGGAAGATGTTCGTCAGGTGTCTGTTACAGTCTAAGGAGAAAAGATACAAATGTTTATCCCTATACTTCAACACTCTTTTTAGATTATGGTTCACAAAATTTTCTTGTTTTATTTTTGAGGCACCTCGACAACGTACTACACGTGATATTGAAGTTCTAGAACATCTATTGAACCGTTGTGAAAGTCTTCATCATTTGCCTACGAATGTTCGTCATTATGCTGGTTGATTAATTTAATATTGATGCTTTTTTTTTTTTGTTCATACTACTAATTCATCTTAAATTTTAGCTCGTTCACTTTTACTTTTTACGTATCATCCAAGTACAGTTCTTACTCGTCAAAATTTTCCTTCGTTTCTGGTTTATATAATTGTTTATGGTAGTTGAAATATTTGTTTTTTATTGTTTTAAAAAATAAAGATTTTCTTTGTTATTATATGTCAATGTATCTTATTACTCGAAACGAATCAAACAACAATATTTGGTCATCGATTAAATATTGGTGATGTATACGGAGATGATTCTCTTCAATCAATAAATTATTATCATTTAAATGGTTTAATAACAGATGACATGAATTATTGTAATTTAATAGGATTTTTTTCAAGAGATATTAGAGTAAATTATAAATGAATATTTCCTTAGCATTTTTTTAAATTTTAATATAATAAAAAGGCTTATGAAAATTATTTATCTGATATGATGAAAAAATCATTACTAGAACAATTTCGAATGCAATCAATATTTAGTAGTATTCAATGGCGAAATGATATTTTAGATTTTATTGTGAGTTTTTTTATTAATGCTTTTATTTTATTTTATTTTTTTGATATATTCGAATAAAGTTTGTTATTAGTTAAAATGGTCTCATTATAAACAGTATTCAATTGATGAAATCATTTATGGAAATGAAGAATATGAACATGAGAATTTATATTTTATTCTACATGGTCAAATTTCTTTTGTACGTTTACTTGATTTTCCATCCATAATAATTAAACATCCAGAATATAGTCAACTTTATTATAAACTAAATAACAAAAAGATTAATAAAGCAAAAATTAAACAGATAAATATAGCAGGTATAATTTATTTGATTCATTATTCTTATTATTAATAGTGTGATATACCATATTAGAATTTCTTTCAATGCATAAATGACTATTTCTCTAATATCTGATCACTTTTATATTTTAGATCAATATCATCCCAGTAATGATGAAGATTCAATATCGAGTTCATTAAATCCCCCAATGAATATTAGTAATCGTTCTTCATTAATCGGTTTAAATATTCCAGCAATCACATCAAAGTCAAATCCTCAACGACATATTAATGCTATGATAAACGAAAAAATCACTCAACAAATTGTATCAAATATCTTAATTTTACATCATTGATGTTTTTGTTTTCTTAGACAGATGAAAAATGTTCAAAACCAAAAACTACATGGCGTTTTCTTCAAATATTTGTTCTTTCAAATGGACATTATTTTGGATTTGAATCAACAACAATTCATTCATGGTATCTGACTCGTAGTACAGTCGATATAATTTCAAGTAATATTCATTGTTATTAAATAGTTTTATTGCTTTTTAATTCTCAAAGTTCCAAAACATCATTTTAAAGAACTTGGTTCTTTTGCACCAATGATATTTGAAAAACTTCGTGAAGATTTTCTTGATATTTTTCCAAATGAAATTCTCATTCGTAATTCATATATAAAATATCTTCAAACAAATAAATCAAATGAACATGAAGTTTCGACAATCAAATTTAGTAATCATAAAAAACGATCAACTATTAATAATCATGACATGCAAAACATTAATTGGATTCCAAAACAAAATATTCTCAGTATAAAAAAAAATAATTTCTTTTTCATAGTAACACACAAAAAAAAATTTCTATAGATCAATACAAAGAAAAACTTCGTTTATCAAATAAAACATTATGTAATTAAATTGTTGTTCCTCGTACGACAAGTCCAGCTTTACGATAAATTTCATCAATTATCTCCATATTACGAATAGCACTTTTACCAGTTGTATATACTATTTCATATGCTTTATCAAGTGAACCTTCATCTTGAACAATTTTAACAGCTTCTATAAATGCTTTTAATTGATAATAATAAGTTGATTGATTATCACTATAATTTTTTATTGTGCGTGTTTGATTAGTTTTTCGTTCTTGTATAGTTAAATAATGATAAACAAAAGGTGCAATAAGATTATAAACTTTTATTATTGCATGTTCACATTCAATTATAATTTCGTGTTTAAAAAATGACCAATTATTTGTAAATTCACAATAAATATTACATTTGATACCATCCAATAGTAATTCACTTCTCATTCCATAATCAATTTGAGGATTTGTTGAAGATATTCGTAAAGGTTCAGCTTTTTGAACTTCAAATGCCCCTTCATAATCATTATCATTACGATTATTGTAGGTATTAACAATAAAACGACACATTGATACTAAATAACAACCAAGATCCATTTGAGTTCCACCACCAAGAGAATATTGAAATCGAATATCATTATTTTTAAGCACCGAAGATGGAACAGTAAAAACACCCGAGATATTCTGAATAGAACCAATTTGATCTTTATTCGAAATAATATTTTTCAATGTTTCATTACACATTGGATGATACCTATAATGAAATGCTTCCACAAGTAATCGATTTTGTTTATTAGCTTCTTCAACCATTTCACGTGCTTCATCAGCATTATTCGATAATGGTTTTTCACAAAGTACATGTTTACCGGCACGTAAAGCTTTCATTGTCCATTGATAGTGAAGACCATTTGGTAATGGATTATAAATCATAGTTATATCGGGATCAGCTAATAATTCATCATAATTATCATAAACCTAAAAATGAAAAAAATAATATTTTGCTTAAATAGAAAAAAACATCGAACAGTGCTGCTAGAATAATTGTGTCTCAAAATATTTCGTCAAGTTTTATCATTATACCTTGATCTTTTTATTTTCATACAAAGATTCATGATCCAATTTTCTTCAGCAACGTACTACAAGCTATGCTGCAAAATAGTGTCCAAAAATATTAAATAAATAATATAGCAAGACTACAACATGTCCAGTTTTTAATGGTTGTTTTCGTTTCAGAGCAACGCATTAGGTTTTTTTACTAACGAGAGAACTACCCGAACTGATAATTACTGTTGAAGTTTGTATCAGACTCACAAGAGAGTTTCGATAAGACATGAAAAATCCTAAAAGAATTCATTCTCACGGATCTTTTGAACCGAATCATCACCATTTTACTGAACCTTCTATCCAGCTTCAGATATACCCTAAACAATCAAAGAACAGAATTTTGACATGAGGTTTTACTCATAGATTCAGGATATTCAATGGATCATTAGATCCTTTTTTTGGCAAATTTTCTGTCGAAATTGCTTTATTTGGTGTTTCGGTAAATACTTAAAGGTGAATCGAGAATTCAAGAAAATGGTCATAACTCGACATCAGAAACTAATCAACGCGAACCCTTTTATAATTTTTTTACTTTTTATCAAGACCGCCTTGTGAATCGATATGAGTTCAAACGATGGGCATCGGTTCGAGTATTTTTCTCATAAGTGCTTTCTTTCTCATGATGTACACCAGAGATGTCCATCGCGGCGCTGCCGCGCCGCTGCCGCTGCCGCTGCCGCTGCCGCGGTGGCGGTGGCGGCGCGGCAGCGGCAGGTTTTTAAAAAAAATCACCGCGGCAGCGGCGCGGTAGCGGCAGATTTTTTTAAAAGTCATCGCGGCAGCGGCGCGGTAGCGGCAGGTTTTTTAAAAAACCATCGCGGCAGCGGCGCGGCAGCGGCAGGACTTTTTTGGAGGACATTGAAAAACTGTATGAATTTAATAGAATTTCACGATTTACAAATGAAACGCCCTGATATTGAATAAATCTGATGGACTAGTACCCATATCTCTGGTCAAATATAGTCACAGCAGTGAAATCAGAAACACTTTTTTGAAAATCGTCGCGGCAGCGGCGCGGTGGCGGCACGTTTATTTTATAATTCATCGCGGCAGCGGCGCGGCAGCGTTTCTTTTCTAAGTCATCGCGGTGCGGCAGCGTCGCGGCAACATTTTTTTATAAACCGCCGCGGCGCGGCAGCGGTGCGGCAGCTTTTTTTTTCTAAGGCCGCGGCGCGGCAGCGGCAGATTTTCAGCCGCGATGGACATCTCTGATGTACACTGAAGTTCGTTTCAATTAGGTTGTGATGTTATTGACACAAATATTATTTTATCAAAACGAAGCTAAAAACACGTAAAACTTTGCTTATTTTGTGCAATATACCTGAATGAAGAGCCTCTGTTCAAATTCTCCAATTTTAGCTTGATGCGCCAATCAGCTCTCTTGAAGCTAAATTAAATTGAGTTATATCAATGAGAATTTTCATGAGAGTCTCCGTAAATCACTTGCTGAGCTACAGTTTGGAACAAGAAATAATTCATTGACATGGTAAATATTGATAGAAAATTTTTTGGTATCCTAATGATCAGATAGAGCATTATGAGTGCTGCAAGATTTTTATCCATTATTTTTTTGTTTGCTTTGCTTAAAGCTTCAACAAATATGCTAAAGTTGGCCATATTACAGTTTCGCAGTATCTAAGTACTTGGCTTAATATTTTTAAGTAGAAAAATTTGTAATAAGTTCTTGTAGAAAATTGAATCGTGGCTCTTACAAGAAAAAAAACAATCAAGGTAGGGTGATGAACTTTGATCAAGTATTTCAGGGAACATTAATTCTGGCGCACCCACTTTGAATCAAATTTTACTTTTGGTATATGATGTTTTCTTGCAAATGCTTCAGCTCTTTGTCGATCTCTAGCTGCAATACCATAGATTAAAATATTCGATAATTTACTTGCTGGATTAATTAAAGCCATATTACAAATATTAGCTGCACCAAGTATTCCAATTTTAAATGCATCAGCTTGTTTATGTAATTGTTTTGTATCACCACTAAAATATGTCCATAAACGATTTAACAAAGCCATCTATAATAGAAAGTAAAAAGAAATATATAGATATATATATATATATACACATATATTCGAATTCTTTTATTAACGAATTAAACGTAATAATAAGAATAGATTAGCAATAGGTCGATGATCACTAAATTTAATCATCGATGTCGTCCAATAATTAATTGATTGTATATGGCATTGATTACTTCGATATAATATTCTATCTGTCCATGATGAACGTCGTAAGACATCATATGAATTTGAATTAAGTTTATATTTATATGTTGGTGGAAATTTAATATCTGATTCTGAATATGTTTTTAATATATTTGTTTTTTCTTTTAATTCATCTTGATTTATTTCTGTTTGACGATAATTTAAATCTCCAAAGAAGAATATAGCATTATGATCATTTATATTCCATTGATATCGATTACATTGAGATTTAAATAACATAGATTGATGAATTAATGAATATTGTTTATTTCGTAAACAAAATGCATGAGAATTTTCACCGGCTGATAAATGACAATTTACAAAACATAAAGATGTTTGATTAAATTCAAATCGAATACCAACACCACCTTTATTTCCATATAAATTCATAAAACCCTTTGCAATCAGAAAAATAATTTTGTTTTTTTAAATCAAAATCAATAAAACCTAACTGTTCGAACTTGAGCAGTAGAAATTGCTGAACACTGATCAAAATATGATGATTGAATATAAATAAAAAGAATTATTCCTTAAAACATAAATGATAAATAATGAGAAAATCGAGAAAGTAACAAAAAAAAACATATTTTACCATTCAATCGAACACGAGAAAGTAATTTATAATTTGGTAGAGTTTTTTCAATTAATTTTATCCATTGATATTCAGATTTTTGTTGAAGAAATAGATAACTGAATGGTGACTCTTGAAGACCTATAGCAATGATATGAGGAGTAATAGATTGATAAATTAGCCATGAAGAAAGATTAATATCCGTAGGAGGATAATATTTATGAGTATTAAATGATCCAATTAGAATAGATAATGGAGTAGAAAGTTTTGCTTCTATCATCGAATTTTTGTCTTAAAGACATGTGAGTAACCAAACCAACAATTGCTTTGGTCCCAGTATCATAAAAGATGAATCATAAGAAAAGTTACACATCGATTCTAGTGCTTTACTATGTGAGTACATGATTGGTTAATCGATTTATACCATTCCAAATGCTCTTTCGGTTGATGTATGTCTACATAGCGATTGTGCACGTCAACCTAATTTAAGAAAATATTCGTATTTTTTACTTTCGATACAATCCTTACTTTAACGCATTACTGAGTACTATATGTAGTACAGTAATGAAGATCACTGCTATATTTTCAAAGTGTACTGAGATCAAACTGTCCATTTTTGTCGCATTGAATAATTGATTTTTTTTATCGAGAAAAAAATTATACAAAGCAAAGAAAATTTCCGTATACCATACTCACTTGGAAAAAAATTTAATATACACCTATCTCTAAATTTTTAGAAAAATTAAACATCTTGACTTTTCTTCTTTGACATATCGTTAGATCGTCATGTTTTTCTTCTGCTTGTTTTAACATCTTTATTTCGATTAATAAATTGTTAAAAATTTTTCTTTCGTCTATTATGTAATCAACATATGATTTTTAGATATTATTTAGAAAAGAAAACCTATCGATATGCCTTCACCTCTTGTTACTGGTATATCACCTCGTGAAGGTTGTCCAGGTATAAAAATAACTATTCGAGGTGAAAATTTGGGTACAGATGAAAAAGATTTTATTGGTTTAAAAATTTGTGGTGATGATTGTCGAGCAACAGCTTCATGGATAAGTCCAAATAAAATAGTTGCTTATGCTGGAAATGGTCAAGGTAAAG